CTGCCAACCTATTTCGTCTTCCCCTCCGTCTCGTGTCGACAGCTACAAGTTTGAGATAATAACGACAACGCAACAGGATTTATCGCTCCCGGTGGCTTGCTAAACGGTTACCATTTTGTCGGGTCCTATAGCAGCATTGCGCAACAGATGGCATGCTGCGCGGAACAACAGCTCTATTAGGCTTCCTATACTCTTTACCGATCATATCATACAGTCGTGCAGAGTGAACACATCCGTTGTGGTTTGAACGTTTTATTCTTTACTGCGAAAATAGGACTACAGACACGCATGTACACGCGCAAGCGCGCACACACACACACACACGCGCACACACACACACACACACACACACACACACACACACACACACACACACACACACACACACACACACACACACACACACACACACACACACAACAACAACAACAGCAACACCAAAGACACGCGTTACTATATAATATGCAATATCTATCTGCACTTGAGATGTTTATTTCGCAAAACCATGAAACGTGTCGTTTAAAGGGTAGCCAACTTAATAGTGCCCCGAGTGTACATAGTAGATTTTTTGTCATTACATAGGCCAATATTATAACACCAAATCGCTGGCGTGTCTGTAGAAACACAAGCAAGTAGTCACGTAGTAACAACAAAGCACATGAAATACCAAAATATACTAGATTCGCTATGCTATATGCATTTTTGCGAAATATGCTTGCGACATACACACATGAAAACCCATATCCCGAGTAATAGTACGTTTCCGAAGTTGTAATCAAATATATGTAATATTCAATCGTAACAAAATGATAGTGAAATGTATTCAGAACGAGCACGCATAGTATGCGTATAATAATTGTCTATGTAACACTCGTGCACTAATTTACATATTTATAGTCACATAAAAACAGTTGTTATATAGGGCTAAGGAGTATAGATATATAGAGCAGTGAGTGATTGAGAATATGTAATAGCGACTATATATGTAATAGTATACAATATGTAACATAACATATACTGTCATGAATATACACCCATTATACAGCTTACGTATATGTTACGTATATGTATGCAGTTACGTATATCTGCGATATCCGCCACGAATATCGTCGCGCCATCTTCCGAGAGAAATAATTTATAAGCGCGCGATATGTAACTGTAAAAGCAAACTGTAATCTACATGTTCGTTCATACAATAGACTGCAGCGGGATTTCACGGGATTATGGATAGTAAATAATATAACATTTGTACATATCGATACAAGCACATAATAAAAGTACGCATTATATCAAAAATAACCATTTCATATGTACACAAATACTTCCCTGGGATACTCAGCCACTGATGCGGTGTAGCCATAGGTGTAGCAGTCGCATGCGCATCACATGTCATGTATATGTCAATAAACATAATAAACATGCGTGTGTGTATAGTACTCTAAATACTATAGAGTATATTTTACACTTATATATTCTATACAGTATCTATACTATTGTATTAAATTATGATAAATTTCTGATATCATAGAAAAGATATAAAGTCAAAGAATCACAGTGCCGCCTACATCCTACCGCAGTGGTTCCTACGCGGACCCCAGGGGGCCCGCAAAGGTAGTGCTGGGGGGTCCGTGAGCTGAGTTCAAAATTTCAAAAGGCTCCAGCGTAAAATGTATAATTACTCACGCTAAGCCTGCTAAAATAAACGTACAAATTTTATGTATCGTTGTTCTTGGTTGCAATATTTTCAACTCAGTATGGCAACATTGTTTGTGCGGGGTAGATGTTTTAGCTATAAAATAGCCTATAACGGCTGATTTCGTTACATGTAATGTCTATCAATTGAGAGATGAAACTGGGGAAACGAGTTTGTTGCTAATTAATAAAATCGGCTTGTTGAGTAGACAGACCTTTCAAAAACCTGGGGTCCGTGAGAAAATTAATTTAAATAAAAGGGGTCCTTGGTGGTGAAAATGTTGGGAATCACTGTACGTCCTACTGCAGCTGAAGGGGTCGTTGTCGTATCAGGTACTATACGATATGTACCCGAGGTACGTAAATGTATACACAAGTGCACCAGACCTGTATCTTCTTAGCATATATGTACCCTGTGTTTGCATAAACGTACCTGCCCCTGAGATGGAGATCGAATGAAGACGGTCATGGAGGAGGAGTAGGGGCAGGAGGAGGAGGAAGAGGAGGAGGAGGAGAAGGAAGAGGAGGGGAGAAGGTGATGGAGTAGGGGGAGGAGGAGGAGGAGGGGAGAAGGTGATGCAGTAGGAGGAGGAGGAGGAGGAGGAGGAGGAGGGAAGAAGGCGATGGAGTAGGGGGAGGAGGAGGGGAGGAGGTGATGCAGTAGGAGGAGGAGGAGGAGGAGGACGAGGAGGGAAGAAGGCGATGGAGTAGGGGGAGGAGGAGGGGAGGAGGTGATGCAGTAGGAGGAGGAGGAGGAGGAGGACGAGGAGGGAAGAAGGCGATGGAGTAGGGGGAGGAGGAGGGGAGGAGGTGATGCAGTAGGAGGAGGAGGAGGA